AATGTAAAATGTTTGAATCAAATTAATTAGATATTATTTATAATTAGATATTATTTAAATTAATTGTAAATTATTTTTTTTAATTAAAAAAATATTAAATTATAAAATTCTAACAAATTTCGGTTAATTCGAAAATTAACTAAATTAACCAAAATTTATTCGGTTCGGTAATATTTTCGAAAAAAAATTCGATTCGGTTAACGGTTAAAGAAAAAAAAAAGTTCGGTTAATTCGAAAATAATAGTTCGGTCGTTCGGCCACCGAATTAACCGAATGAACACCCCTAGATCGAAGACGATAGAAATCCTTTACGAGAATAATTTTTACAGTTCAATTTGTTTCATTCGTAATGTTAGGTTTAAAATCTTTAATCTTATTAAAAAACTTGATACTGAACTAATCATCTAATATAGTCGATAATAATAGCAATATTATTTTAATAACACATGTCCAATGATGCTACTCTGTATTTAATGCTGCTTGAGACGTACTATTTTAATAGGTAGACCGAAACTTTCAAGGGTAAATTACAGATTTAGTATATAAACTATCCGTTTTAATCTGTTTTAGTATTTAATTTTTAATTTTTTTATTTTTTTCAAAATCATACCTAATATTTACTTTTCATTTTATTTTAGTAACTCGTCATTAAAAAAATTAACGTGTTTAGTATCTAAGCTATCAGTTTCGGTCCATTTTAGTATCTAAATTTTCAAAAAAAATTCAAAACTTAACGTTAAATTTTGAACGGGTACTAAAATGAAACAAAAAATAAAGCTTTTAACGATGATGTACTAAAATGTAACAAAAACTAAAGTTTTTACGATGGATTCTAAAATACAAAACCTAAACTTTAGGTATGTTTTGAAAAAAAATGAAAGTTTAGATACTAAAACGAATCAAAACTGATAGTTTAAGTATTATACACATAATTTACCCAAAATTTATAAAACAAAATAGGGTATTCTATTCATTTAGCACATAAACTATCAGTTTTGATCCGTTTTAGTACCTAAACTTTTAATTTTTTTCAAAATCATATCTAATGTTTAGTTTTCATTTCATTTTAGTACCCTACCGTTAAAAACTTAATGCGTTTAGTACATAAACTGTCAGTTTTTCTTTGTTTTAGTACCTAATTTTTAAAAAAAAAACTTAAAATTTAACGTTAAATTTTTTATGGGTACTAAAACAAAATTAAAAGAAACTAAAGTTTTTAAAGACGGATATTAAAATGAAGCAAAAACTAAAGCTTAGGTATGATTTTGAAAAAAAATTGAAAGTTTAGGTACTAAAACAAGATGAAAATGATAGTTTATGTACTAAACACGTAATTTACCCAATAAAATAATTGGGCCCATGAATTTATTAATGTGTCAATTGTCATTATTGAATTTTATATTAACGTTAATAATATGTTATTCTATAAAATTCTAATTCAATATTTCTTTCCCAAAATAAAAAAAATCAATTGAATCTCTTTAGTTTTGATCTTTCCAAATTTTCATCATCAATTCACCAAATCTCTTTCCCGATTTTTCATATCAATGAACAAATTTATTAACGTTATTTTTTTCTTCAAAACTTATCGAGAGGAAAAAATTAAGTATAATTAGCATGCTTCTCTATTTCATGTTTCACGATTCATCTGAAAATTATTATTATTATTTTTAATTTATCATATTTATCTCACACGTAAAGTCACACTTGTACATCATCAATTGTGGTGCTTGAATCATATTGAGGATTGTTCTTAAAATTCTAGATAGATCACGTTTTTAAAGTCTTTCTTTTAACGTTTTTAAAGTATTTCTTTTAATTTTTTATATATTTTCAAATTCTAGATAAAATCGTTCTTTCATTTTCAAATATTGTGTTATGTATTGAGAAAAATATGTTGGAAATCATTAATGTTGCCATTATCATAAATGGTTTTGCATCAAAAAAATGATCGAATGTATTATTTTTTATAAGTATTTGTATTCTTAAATATATTTTTTGACATCTTTTATATTATAATGAATAATTATTTTTTTAATTTAATAAAAAAATCTAATAAAAATTTCCTATTATATATTTCTTAAATTTTTTATATTGATGACCATTTTTTTATTTTCATCTCGAGCCTAGAAATAGTCAGAATCGGCCCTGTCCAACCTATATAATGCATGCAACAGATAAAGAATGCCTTTTAGATTAACCAATGCGTCAGATACCTTATGTAAAGCGGAATACCGACCCTTTAAGTAGATTTTAAATTCTAGAAATATGAATATAATCCAATTTAACACGGTTGTCATTAAATTAAAATAATAAAGGGATTAAATTTATGAAATTTAAACTAGAGGGACTAGTAATATAATTGTACCCGAAAAAGGACTAAAATGAACTCGATACCAAACTGTACCAAGTCTCCCCAAGTCTGAATTACGGACCAGAATGTCATCAAAGAAAACTACCACGAATTGTATTCCGCTTTCATTCACCATATAGTGGGAGGAACGTTAAGCGGCTTACTGTTCAAAGCAGCGGAAGTGGGTTCAACCAATGGTTTTCGGGTTGGCTCTAGCAGTTTTTGCATTTCCCACGTCCAGTTCGCTGATGATCTGATTGTGTTCTCCGACGCTAAGTTAAAATCGAGTCAAAAAATTTTGAGTTATTCGAGTTGACGGGTCGTATTTTACGACTTAAACTTAACTTGAAATTTTTTCGAGTCGAGACGAGTTTAAGAAATTTGAGTCGATTTATTCGAGTTTCTATGCTAATTTTATTATAATTATTTATAGTATTATGGTAACGATTGGTTCCATTTTTTCGACTTTCTTTAATCATATAAGAAATATATATATTACATATTCTTTTCAAATTATAATGTTATTTAATATATCAAATACAATCTAAAGTTATAAAATATATTTACGATATTATATTTTTCTTTATTTTGAGGGTAAACTCCTGATGAGAGTATAAAAGAGTCAATGAATTGTCGGGAAGAAAAAATTTGAAAACAATTGCAGTCATGAGTAAAATGCGATGTTAAGGGTCTAAATAAAAAAGAGAATACATCTTTAGTTAAAAAAAAATTGAAGTTACATAGGTATTCTATAGTGGTATAGATCATGTGATTCAAATTTGGTAAAATAATGAATTTAAAATAAAAGATGAATTGAAGAAATAATGAAATTATGAAAAAATTATGGGACTAAATTAAAAAATAGAAAACTTGTTATCAAAAAGAGAAATTGTAAGTGCATATGTATTCTACGATGGTTTAGGAGCATGCGGTTAAAATTTGGTTAAAAATAGACTTAAATGAAGAATGAATTAAATGAATAATGAAATCACGAACTAAATCATAAAACTTTTAAAATACATAGTCAAATTTTTTGTTTTTCAAGTAACTTGAAATTTTCAAATTTCAACATCGATTTGAACTCGAAAACTGAATTGATAATTCAAGTCTACTAGAATAACTCGAATAACTCAAAATTGAAAAAAATGATTTTATGAGTCGAGTTGAGTTTTGTTCACCCCTAGTTGTTTGATCAGTAGTGTCTCTAGACTCCTCAGATGTGTATTTGAGGTATGTTTCTTCGATCCCTCTTGTCGCCGGAAAGGATTGTCTCTAATTTATCTCTGTAGTCATGGCACACTTTTTTTATCTAAGGTTAGGGAATTTTTTTTTAACGAGACTCAAGATTACATTTTTATTTTGTATGTGTTAATTAATAAAATTGTCAAAAAATCATTTAAAAAATAGATTGTAGGGTTTTAGATTTTGAATTTTGGACCATAAGATTTTTTCTTTAATATATTTTTTTCAAAAAATTTAGTGAAAGTCAATATATTTTTAAATTAGTCATATAAGCAATTTTATAAATGTTAAATAATCTGACTTATTATATAAAAAAATTAATAGTGTTGTTAAATTCTTAACACTATTAATTTTAATTTCATAAATTTAGTCCATTTTAATAATCAAAGTCCGATTGAACAACTAATAATCAATTGGTCTAGTGACACGAGAGTCTAGATCCTTTAAGTATTATTGGGAGTTTGAATCCTAACATTGTGAATAATGAATTGATTGATCGATAGATCAAGTACCGATAATTAAATTAAAAAAAAATCCAATTTAACACCGCTATCAAAGGACTGGAAACATAATTATACCTTAAAATTTTTGTGAATGTGTCGAATAGTAAACCCTTTAAAATTCAACACACACGCCGTGATCGGGTGGAAGTATTATTTTTGTGAGTATGTGAATATAAACACTTACGTTTACGAAAGAAAGTCTTAATTTTCAAATCTATTTTCGTGTCGTTTCACTATATGATTTACGTTGCCATACATATTCAAACTATGGTTTTTATATTAAATTGGTCTTCAAACTTTTGAATATTCTAATTCCATCCTCAGACAACGACTCCCATTCTGAATAAGTTCTCAAATTTTTTAACATTCTAATTTCATCTTCAGATTATGACTCTCGTTCTAAGTTGATCCATAAACTTCTGATCTTCCAGATTCATCCAAATATGAAATTAGTTTCGACCATAGTTTGACCTAATTTTTTTCTTCAAATACATAATAATATAGTTCGGTCTAATGATTTTATTAACATGAGGTGTGATTAGAATATACATATGGTTTAGGATTAAATTGAAATATTCAAAAAATTATAGCCTAATTTAAAATGAGGGTTGTAGCATCTGGATGGAATTGAAACGTTCAAAGTTTGAGGGAAAGCTAGAATGAGAGTCACATCCAGTGGTGAAATTAGAATATGAAAAAGTTTAAGAACCGATTCAAAACAAGGATCATAATTTGAGGATGTGCAGTGAAGGTGAAGGAAGAGGCCAAGTCACTCTCACTTTGAAAGAGTCAAATCAACTCTTTGTGGAATCATTCCATGATTTTTCTCTTCCATATCTGCAAGGAATTCAAACTCTATAAATAACCCATTTCGGGATCAAAAATTTCAAGTACAACAACAAGAAAAGCTTCATTTTTGTCAAAAATTATTGAATACACATACAGGAGAGTATACGAAGTAATTTCAAGTGCATAAAAGCTTGGAACAAAGGACAACAATGGCGGATGCTGACAACAAAGCACGTTCCTTGGAGGAGACACCGACATGGGCTGTTGCAGCTGTGTGTTTTGTTATAGTTGTCGTCTCCATCTTCATTGAACATGCCCTTCACATCCTAGGCAAGGTTGGTCTTAATATTTCATTATTTAATCATTTATAAAAGATAGTATACAATAAATTTGATATATGATATTCTTGCATGCACTATACACAGTGGTTGAAGAAGAAGCATAAACCAGCTCTTTATGAAGCACTTGAGAAGGTTAAAGCAGGTAACCAATTACCTTTTGATTTTCTTGAGAGAAGTTTATGAGTAATTATTAAATCAAGTGTAAACTACGTGTTTAGTATTTAAACATCAGTTTTGGTCCGTTTTAGTACTTAAATTTTTAATTTTTTTAAAATCATACTTAAAGTTTAATTTTTTGTTTCATGTTATTACTAAGTTCAAAACTTACGTTAAATTTTGAAAAAAAAAATTAAAAATTGAGGTACTAAAATAAATTAAAACTGATAATTTAAGTACTAAATTTAAATTTTATATAATTAAATAGATCAAAATTTATCGAACTCGAGTTAAATATTTATCTATATCAGTGACTAGCAAATACTTTTTGTTTTGTCATTGCAGAGCTGATGCTGATGGGATTCATATCACTACTGCTAACGGTATTGCAAGACAGTATAGCTGACATCTGTATATCTAAAAGCATAGCGGACACGTGGCATCCTTGTGATATTAAGTCCACGGCTAAATATCCACCTAAAGAAGTCGACAAGTGTAAAGAAAAGGCATGAATTTATTTATAAAATATTTATATATATTTGATTTTTTCATTATTAAAATTTAAATAATAATTAAAAATTATATAATTGCAGGGTAAAGTGGCATTTGTATCGGCCTATGGAATCCACCAGCTTCACATATTCATCTTTGTGCTTGCAGTCTCTCATATTCTCTACTGCATCATAACCTATGCTTTTGGAAGTTACAAGGTAATATATATATATATATATATACATATAATATTTAATTATTCTTTATATTATATATTTTAATCATTTTGATGTTAAAAATTAAATTCTCTTAATTATTTTATGATATTTAAATAATTTATTGGATTACAGATGAAGACATGGGAGGCTTGGGAACATGAAACAAAGACAATTGAATATCAATATTACAATGGTATGTATATTCTCAATTTCTCAATTAAATTACTTTACCATGAAATAGTTGCGATTTTGCTCTATCCGATAGCCGTAGAAAGAATGGTGTGAAAATATGACTGTTCCAATCAAATCTTCAAGTGGGAGATTGTTGAAAGTAAAAAATGACAAATGGGGCGTCTGATTTTCTTCAAAATTAGGCAGCATGATTTGGTTGAAAAGTGGCATGGAAAATTACGAATTTAGTCCCTGTACTTTAGGGTATATATAAGATTAGTCCTTAAGCTTCAACTATAAATACCCTAACCCATTTAACTTCAAAATCATCCCAAATCATTTTAGTTTTCTCCCAATATTAGAGAATTTTCTTGAGAGTTGTTTTCTCCTTTTTATCAAGAGAGAATTGTTATTGTTTTCTCTTTGTTAGATCGAGAGATGTTGTAATTCATATTTTCTTATAGTGAAATTATTCTACCGTTGCCCGTGGTTTTTACCCTATATTATTTAGGGGTTTTCTATAAAATTTGTGTCTTCTTTATCTTCATTTTTATTTTCTCAAATTATCAGTTGCGATTTTGCTCTATCCGATAACCGTATTACGCAACAGAAATTTCTTCATTTTTAAATTCATTTCTTAATTTAATTCGAATTAATAAGAAAATTATTCAAATTCGATTTGGTTTTGATTTGTATGATGCAGATCCCGAGAGATTTAGGTTTGCGAGAGACACTTCGTTTGGACGTAGACATTTGAACTTTTGGAGCCGTTCAAACTTATCTGTTTGGATCGTAAGTATATTAATCAACTTAAATATTTTTTTTTATAATTATCGATATCTAATTAATTAATTAATTAATTTGGACCGAATATCGTAAAGATTCATTTTAAAGAAGACCTATAACATCATTAATCGTTATTTAATTATTTATTCTCTGCAGGTGTGTTTCTTTAGACAGTTCTACGAATCGGTTACAAAGGCCGATTACCTAACATTGAGACACGGATTTATCATGGTAAGTTAACATAACGTTCGGTGAACTATTCGTGAATTATTCATATAACGTTTGTTGGTGTTCGTTTGTTAAGCTAAATAAATGATCATGATCTTAAATTTTTATGTTCATTTGATAAACGCACGAACATGAACATAGGAGTGTTCGATTCATTTATGTTCACAAACCAACTTGTTTATCGACTCTTTCATTTATGTTCGTGAACAAGCTCGTTGATCCGGTTCTCCTTTTTCTTTTTGTACATTTTAAATATTGGTGAAGGTAGGGACTAAATAATACACATGGTAAAAGCTGAAATTTAAACTATGAACTTCAAGAAGTTTAAGCACCAGTGACATAATTTTACTTTTTTCTTTAGCTTGTATATGAAAGGGTAAAACTAAAAAATTGAACATATAAAATTAACACTAAATGACCATGTTCATGAACAAATAAACGAACATGTTTGTGAACAATAAATAAATAAACACGAACACAATATTAAAAATTAAAACGAACACGAACCGAGCATAGACACCTTAAAGAATAAACAAACGAACACGAATATAACATTTATTCATTCAAGCTCGGTTTATATACATCCCTAAACAATTATTATTATTATTATCAATTTAAAAAATATTAGAAACTAAAATAAAAAACATTTCATTTATTTATTTGTTCTTAATGATATCGAACAACTAATTTTCTCTTTTTATGGACAGGTTCGGAATCTTATTTTTGGCTTCCTTTTATCCCCTTAGTTGTAAGTACAACACATATTTTATATTATTATATATATATATATATATATATATATATATATATATATATTTAAAAAACATTATAGATTCGAATAATATTGAAATTCGATAATAAATTCTTAATTGGATGGAGATTATTATTTTTCAGATAATTTTAATGGTGGGAACCAAGCTGCAAGTGATCATAACAAAAATGGGACTAAAGATTCAAGCAAGAGGGGATGTGGTGAAGGGTGCACCATTGGTTGAACCGGGCGATGATCTCTTCTGGTTCGGTCGTCCGCGTTTTCTTCTTTTTCTTATTCACGTCGTTCTTTTTACGGTAATTATTTTTTTATTTTAGAATCAATTTTAAATATATTCGAAGTTGGATTCGAGTTTATTTGAATATGTTACTGATTTCATTGTGCAGAATGCGTTTCAGCTGGCCTTTTTCGTGTGGAGCACGGTAAGCCGAAAGCAGAAACCCAGTGTTTGTTTCTCGAGAAAATGTTTAGTTAGCTTATCTAACAAGTTTTCTTCTTCTCTTTTTTCAGTATGAATTTACCATAAATTCTTGCTACCATGAGAAGATCGAAGATATCATAATTAGAATCTCTATGGGGTGAGTTTTCTATAATATTAAAAATTACCAATGAAAATCGTAAAATAAATATTAATGATTTGAAAAATAAATGAAAAATTACTAATAAAATGTAATTTAATTAATTTTTCTTCTGCAATTTTCAGGGTAATTATACAGGTTCTTTGCAGCTACGTGACTCTTCCACTCTATGCTTTGGTGAACCAGGTAAAAAATTATTTCAATTTAACGGTTGAACAATTCATCCGATTTAATCCGATCCGATCTTATTTAATTTCATCTTTATAGATTATATTTTCGTTCAGACCGACCTGAACGTGTCCAAAAATATTGTACATTAATTTATGTACATATATGTGTACAGATGGGAACTAATATGAGACCGACGATCTTCGATGAAAAAGTTGCCGATGCACTTAAAAACTGGCATCAAACAGCAAAGGAACAGGTTAAACAAGGCAAGAACTCGGAGAATACAACGCCGTTTTCGAGTAGGCCAGCAACTCCGACGCGCGGGACGTCCCCGGTTCATCTCCTCCATCGCTATCCCGAAAGAAGTGTAGATAGCTCTCGCACCTCTCCGAGTCATTCCGACTTCGAGAACAACATATGGGATCTGGCCGATTCGTTCGCCGATTCCCCGAACCGCCGTGATACCGATGTTCCTGCTGCCGATCATGGTAGATTGCAGCTGCAAACGAGTGAAGTTGCAGATACGGCGGTTCGAGAATCTAGCACTTCGGAATTCGTATCGAGGTCACCCGGCTCGGTCCGAACACAGCACACGATCGAGATTACCCCATCGAATTTCTCCTTTCCGAAAAGATGATCAAGATAAATATATAATTTTTAGTTATTTATTCATTCTTTTGTTCTTTTATGTTCATCTAATTAGATTCAACTTTACATCATAGTGTGTTGAATTTGATAGCATTTTTACTTGTAATACATGAATTTCCTTTTGAAATAAAATTACTAATAATTTTTATTTAAAAAATTATAAATTCGAATTAAAGAAAATTGATTAAGAAAATCACTGTCGTAATCAACAAAATTCAATCTAGATTAATCGACTAATAAATTAAATATTGGTAATGCTATAAAAAAATCATATACCTCCTGTTTCTTTCTCTATTGACTTTAATATTTCCGAGATCTGTTAGAAAATATATATATATAAATTAATTAAATTAAATTATTTTATCAAGAATTTAAATTTATATTATGTGCTTTCGATCGTATCGTGTTTTCGATTTGGTCTAATTTTTTTATGTATAGATTGGTAATTGAATAGGTCAAGAATAAATTTGCACAGGTAGAGGTGTTCGTGAGTCAAACGGATCGAATATGATCAATCAATTTTTGATCAAATCCTTTAGATTTGGACGAAGAATTCGATCCGATTCGAGACGATAAAAGAAAGAGGATAAAGTGAAGTTATGGTGCATCACCTCAGCTTCAGCCATTTGTAGATTCTCACATCTCCTAATGAAAGCTTTCTTGTAAAGTGATTCCTTTTGGATATGTGAGACAGCGATTTTGGCAACTTTATCTACCTGATCCTTCATTTCATCCAACCTGCAAATCGGAATCGAATCGTAAGTTATTCGAATTCGAGTTTGAATCGACACTCATCCGATTCGAGTTATGTATGATCTCAGTATGCATTGATCAGTTAATTATACTCCATATAGGAACATTGGCAAGGAACTGCAGTACCTCGAGGCATGCCTTCCTAATCTCTTAAATGATTCGAACTCGAAACTATGCAACGTTCGAGATGAATCTCGAATAAAGGTTTTATGAGATCCTTCAATGAAGGGTTTCCTGCAATCTCTGGTAGCATTGTGTGAATTTGAATTGATTAATGTTATGCCTAACTCGGACCCTAACTCGCTCAATAATGCCTTGCCATAATCCAATTGCAGCAAAGCTTTCTCAAGCTTGATACTTGTCGAATTAGTACTGTTCTCGTCGTAGGTAAAGAATCCGGGGCAATGGTCGTGTTGATTGGACTCGAATCCGGGTGCAGCGTGTTGGAGGCTTGTACTCCGTTGCATAGGCAGTTTGTATCACGGCTTTTTCGTCTTTGAAAAACTTAACTAGTCTAACTAATACATGTGCCAAATTATCGACTGAGATCTTCGAGTTACACCGACTTTGTTCTCGGTTCGTCCGGTCATCGGTTTTGTCTAGAATGCAACCTTGTTTCACCGACTCAACTAGGACAAAGTGGAAAATATCTTCCTTGATGAGACTCTCCAGACTAAATGCATATATTTCCTTCTGGTGTTCCTTGATGACATCAGCTAGGAAAACCTTCAGAACATCATCCTTGATCGAAATTGCTGCAGATTCGAAGAATTTATCGTCGGACTCAAAGTTTTGATTCGTACTCTCGTTGACTTTGATCTGTTGCAGTTCAATTAATATAGAATTGGAAGTGTTTACAATTCCTTTAACAATCTCACACGGTTCCTCACCTAAACAACTTGTAGACTTCAAAGTTTCTATGTTCTCTTTCCATTTGGCGATGATTTTCCGTAAAAGGACCGCGTAAATGTCGTCCCAAAGTGCTCGAAAGAGGTAATCAGGGTGTGTTGACTCCTCTAGGCTCGTGTTTTCCGAATAGAGTAATGTTTGATGATTTGCAGGTATAGAATTATGAGCAGAATCGAGATCCCGCACCGTTGGCTTGGCGTACAAGTTACCGTATTTCTCACTTCTGGTTTTCTCGTTCCACTCGGTTTTCATTTCCTCGATCAAGTTTTCATACATATTTTCTTTGACTGGGCAATGTATGTGATGATTGAGCATCTCGATATGAAATTCATCAACAAAACTTCGTAAAAGAGTTAAATAAGTCTCTTCCATGATCCTGTTTTGCAGATTTGAATCTTCAATTTCTTGTTTCAGAAGCTTTATTTCACTCCATGGATCTTCATTTCTTTCTTCAGAAACTGGGGTTTTTTTAGTCACTTTTTCCCATATTTCTTCCATACTGTGAACGCCTGGATTCTCGATTTCGATTTGACCATTCATAAATGGCCTCGCCTCGGGTGGCTTTTGCAGTTCATAGTCATACCTATTGTCACTAGAACAATCACCAATCCCAGGGTTCAGGTTGATTAAATTCTCCAATCTCGCAATAATTTCTCGAATCCATCGTCTCATATCAACGATATCCTTTCCTTTCCTCGGTGGTAGCGGACTCGATTTATCTCGAAGAATTTCTTTCGTTAACAAATTGAGCTCGTCGCTTTTTCTCCGGAATATGGACCCGTTGAAATCAAAAGGCCTACCGAGATGATGATGTTACTCGATTTCCTGAGATCGTGACCTCCCGAGAAACATCGTCATCTCGGTAGACCCTTTGATTTCGAACTCTTGACTTGAACATCATCTGGATTACTAATGAACCGAAGTTCCTGATTAAGGCAATTAATCTCTCGAATCACATTGGCCAAATGTTTCTTCAACATTAACGAGGCTTGCACCTCTCGTTCATTTCATCTTCGAAACTCTCCCGGGAACCTTTAATCACGATTGCAGCTACGGATCTTTCAATGTCCGACATCCATTGATGCTCAATCAGCCTGAGTTCGGATAAGAAAATTGCGTTCTGCATCTTAGTAAAGGCAAGATCTAGTGTCTCCTTCAAAATCCCGAGATCCAATCCCATCTGCTGGATTTTCTTGGTTTTGATCACTTGATTTCTCTCTTCATCTTGGATTTGATAACTTGGTTTGAGCTGTTGTTTATTGTTCCATACCTGCTGATCAACCGAATACTTCAACTCACAAAATTCGTCTTCCCGGTCCCTGGTTTCGAAGCTGACTTGGCTCCCAAGAAACAACTCATCGAAACCCTCGATTTTCATATGTTCCTTAAGATCAACATACAATGAATTCATTCTCTTTTCACTCATCTTCAATGCCTTCTTGAGCTTCATTTCATTCCCCGATCTCTCCGATAACTCGTTATCCTTATCCGAGATTGCCAATTCGGCTTCCTTGAGTCATCGTTGAAGCCGATTCTTGATCTCCATCAAGTCCTTGAACAAAAAATCGTGACTGATTTCGAAATCATAGTTGCCCCTTTCTTCTTGGACAAAATTCAAACAGTCTTCTAATTGCAGCATGGCGAGTTCGTAGAATTTCGAAATCTCGTTCAAACATTCAAGAACATCCTTTTTCGATTTTACTTTCTGGTATGCTTTGTCCATTGATCTGTGAAGAATCTGCATCATTGTTGATTCGGTTATGGAAACTTTGATCTTATTATCAGAACTATCAACTTCAATCAAATTCAGAATTTGTTCCATTTCGTTACTTTTCCTAGAAAATGCTGGTTTTTTCTTATAATTTTTCATGGAAAATCTAACAGAAAGTAGAGTTAGAAGTTGAAAATTAATTGTAAATTATTTTTTTAATTAAAAAAAATATTAAATTATAAAATTCTAACAAATTTCGGTTAATTCGAAAATTAACTAAATTAACCAAAATTTATTCGGTTCGGTAATATTTTCGAAAAAAAAATCGGTTCGGTTAACGGTTAAAGAAAAAAAAAAGTTCGATTAATTCGAAAATAATAGTTCGGTCGGTTCGGCCACCGAATTAACCGAATGAACACCCCTAGATCGAAGACGATAGAAATCCTTTACGAGAATAATTTTTACAGTTCAATTTGTTTCATTCGTAATGTTAGGTTTAAAATCTTTAATCTTATTAAAAAACTTGATACTGAACTAATCATCTAATATAGTCGATAATAATAGCAATATTATTTTAATAACACATGTCCAATGATGCTACTCTGTATTTAATGCTGCTTGAGACGTACTATTTTAATAGGTAGACCGAAACTTTCAAGGGTAAATTACAGATTTAGTATATAAACTATCCGTTTTAATTTGTTTTAGTATTTAATTTTTTAATTTTTTAATTTTTTTTTCAAAATCATACCTAATATTTACTTTTCATTTTATTTTAGTAACTCGTCATTAAAAAAATTAACATGTTTAGTATCTAAGCTTTCAGTTTCGGTCCATTTTAGTATCTAAATTTTCAAAAAAAAATCAAAACTTAACGTTAAATTTTGAACGGGGTACTAAAATGAAACAAAAAAATAAAGCTTTTAACGATGATGTACTAAAATGTAACAAAAACTAAAGTTTTTACGATGGATTCTAAAATACAAAAACTAAATTTTAGGTATGTTTTGAAAAAAATGAAAGTTTAGATACTATAACGAATCAAAACTGATAGTTTAAGTACTAGACGCATAATTTACCCAAAATTTATAAAACAAAATAGGGTATTCTATTCATTTAGCACATAAACTATCAGTTTTGATCCGTTTTAGTACCTAAACTTTTAATTTTTTTCAAAATCATATCTAATGTTTAGTTTTCATTTCATTTTAGTACCCTACCGTTAAAAACTTAATGCGTTTAGTACATAAACTGTCAGTTTTTCTTTGTTTTAGTACCTAATTTTTTAAAAAAAACTTAAAATTTAACGTTAAATTTTTTATGGGTACTAAAACAAAATTAAAAGAAACTAAAGTTTTTAAAGACGGATTTTAAAATGAAGCAAAAACTAAAGCTTAGGTATGATTTTGAAAAAAATTGAAAGTTTAGATACTAAAACAAGATGAAAATGATAGTTTATATACTAAACATGTAATTTACCCAATAAAATAATTGGGCCCATGAATTTATTAAAGTGTCAATTGTCATTATTGAATTTTATATTAACGTTAATAATATGTTATTCTATAAAATTCTAATTCAATATTTCTTTCCCAAAATAAAAAAAATCAATTGAATCTCTTTAGTTTTGATCTTTCCAAATTTTCATCATCAATTCACCAAATCTCTTTCCCGATTTTTCATATCAATGAACAAATTTATTAACGCTATTTTTTTCTTCAAAACTTATCGAGAGGAAAAAAATTAAGTATAATTAGCATGCTTCTCTATTTCATGTTTCACAATTCATCTAAAAATTATTATTATTTTTAATTTATCATACTTCTCTCACACGTAAAGTCACACTTGTACATCATCAATTGTGGTGCTTGAATCATATTGAAGATTGTTCTTAAAACTCTAGATAGATCACGTTTTTAAAGTCTTTCTTTTAATTTTTATATATTTTCAAATTCTAGATAAGATCGTTCTTTCATTTTCAAATGTTGTGTTATGTATTGAGAAAAATATATTGAAAAACATTAATGTTGCCACTATCATAAATAGTTTTGCATCAAAAAATGATCGAAAATTTATTTTTTATAAGTATTTGTATTCTTAAATATATTTTTTGACATCTTTTATATTATAATGAATAATTATTTTTTTAATTTAATAAAAAAATCTAATAAAATTTTCCTATTACATATTTCTTAAATTTTTTATATTGATGACCATTTTTTTTATTTTCACCTCGAGCCTAGAAATAGTCAGAACCGGCCCTGTCCAACCTATATAATGCATGCAACAGATCAAGAATGCCTTTTAGATTAACCAATGCGCCAGATACCTTTTAGGCTTTGATGAACGACTTGTTTAGACCTTACTTAAGAAAATTTGTGGTAGTTTTCTTTGATGACATTATGGTCCGTAATTCAGACTTGGGGAGACTTGGTACAGTTTGGTATCGAGTTCATTTTAGTCCTTTTTCGGGTACAATTATATTACTAGTCCCTCTAGTTTAAATTTCATAAATTTAATCCCTTTATTATTTTAATTTAATGACAACCGTGTAAAATTGGATTATATTCATATTTCTAGAATTTAAAATCTACTTAAAGGATCGGTATTCCGCTTTCATTCACCATATAGTGGGAGGAACGTTAAGCGGCTTACTGTTCAAAGCAGCGGAAGTGGGTTCAACCAATGGTTTTCGGGTTGGCTCTAGCAGTTTTTGCATTTCCCACGTCCAGTTCGCTGATGATCTGATTGTGTTCTCCGACGCTAAGTTAAAATCGAGTTAAAAAATTTTAAATTAGATATTATTTATAATTAGATATTATTTAAATTAATTGTAAATTATTTTTTTAATTAAAAAAAATATTAAATTATAAAATTCTAACAAATTTCGGTTAATTCGAAAATTAACTAAATTAACCAAAATTTATTCGGTTCGGTAATATTTTCGAAAAAAAAATCGGTTCGGTTAACGGTTAAAGAAAAAAAAAAGTTCGATTAATTCGAAAATAATAGTTCGGTCGGTTCGGCCACCGAATTAACCGAATGAACACCCCTAGATCGAAGACGATAGAAATCCTTTACGAGAATAATTTTTACAGTTCAATTTGTTTCATTCGTAATGTTAGGTTTAAAATCTTTAATCTTATTAAAAAACTTGATACTGAACTAATCATCTAATATAGTCGATAATAATAGCAATATTATTAAAAAAATAATAATATTGTTCACTTGATTTTCTTGGTAAAGGCAAGATCTAGTGTCTCCTTCAAAATCCCGAGATCCAATCCCATCTGCTGGATTTTCTTGGTTTTGATCACTTGATTTCTCTCTTCATCTTGGATTTGATAACTTGGTTTGAGCTGTTGTTTATTGTTCCATACTTGCTGATCAACCGAATACTTCAACTCACAAAATTCGTCTTCCCGGTCCCTGGTTTCGAAGCTGACTTGGCTCCCAAGAAACAACTCATCGAAACCCTCGATTTTCATATGTTCCTTAAGATCAACATACAATGAATTCATTCTCTTTTCACTCATCTTCAATGCCTTCTTGAGCTTCATTTCATTCCCCGATCTCTCCGATAACTCGTTATCCTTATCCGAGATTGCCAATTCGGCTTCCTTGAGTCGTCGTTGAAGCCGATCCTTGATCTCCATCAAGTCCTTGAACAAAAAATCGTGACTGATTTCGAAATCATAGTTGCCCCTTTCTTCTTGGACAAAATTCAAACAGCCTTCTAATTGCAGCATGGCGAGTTCGTAGAATTTCGAAATCTCGTTCAAACATTCAAGAACATCCTTTTTCGATTTTACTTTCTGGTATGCTTTGTCCATTGATCTGTGAAGAATCTGCATCATTGTTGATTCGGTTATGGAAACTTTGATCTTATTATCAGAACTATCAACTTCAATCATATTCAGAATTTGTTCCATTTCGTTACTTTTCCTAGAAAATGCTGGTTTTTTCTTATAATTTTTCCGGGAAAATCTAACAGAAAGTAGAGTTAGAAGTTGAAAATGAGATTAGTATGATACATACAAAAGTTTTTCATGGGGTTAATTACAAACTGGTCCCTGATTTCCACATCTTTTTGCAATTTAGTACTTAAAGGATAAAAAATCACAATTAGATGCCGCTTGTTCGTGTTAATAAACATATAAATTATGTTATTCGAACTCGGATCATTTTAGAATCGAATTTAGATATTTACCCATTCTGAAATGTTGATTCTAAAATTTTGCTTTGAATTCATCCTTTCCATGGAATATGGGTGATATAAGATCTAATGGCCAATTCTATAATGTGACATCTCACACCCAAATTTACAACTTAAAATAAAGTTTCGATACGTTCACTTTTTTTATTTAATTCCGGTTGGTGTGAGTGTAATCGATGTAATCTTAATCAACTAATTCAATTTATGAATATAAATATGAGATAAAATCCGATTATACTATGTAAAACGAATAAATTTTATGAGTATAGGTGGTAAGAGGGAATTAATCCATTTTAAAAAGGTTAAACTGGTAAAACGCACGAAACGACATTTAAGAAACCAAAAGTCAATAATAGCCCTAAAAAAATTCTCTAATAAAAATCCACACGGACCACACCCCACACATCGATTCTCTCATTGTTTCTCCGGTTTTAGCGAATTTGGGAATTAGGGTTTTCTCTGAAGTTCTTCTTTCGACAAAAAAAAAACCGAAGATGATCGAGGTGGTGTTGAACGATCGTCTGGGCAAGAAGGTGCGCGTGAAGTGCAACGACGACGACACCATCGGAGACCTCAAGAAGCTGGTGGCGGCGCAAACCGGAACCCGAGCCGACAAGATCCGTATCCAGAAGTGGTACACGGTCTACAAGGATCATATCACCCTCAAGGATTACGAGATTCATGATGGTATGGGCCTCGAACTTTACTACAATTAAAAGATTATGATTATCAGGGTTTCTATTTTATGTTATCTCTACGGTCTTTGATTGAACAAAGCTTTGATTTTCATGTATGGATGTAATATAATCGTGGATGGTGGGATTCGCCTCTTTTAAGTACTGTTAATGGAAGAATAAGTTCATGAACTCTGGGTTTTTCTTTAGAAAAAAGTTTTTGTTAAATTCAGTATGTGTGTATGAATTATGAAACGCTTTTTACCGACGAAATATTTCTTCAGAAACCGTCGGTAAAAATACTTTTTTCCCGACGGATTTTTCATGTTTTCAAACTCCAAAGAGATTTTGTTAGGAGTACTTGTAATAAAATATAAAATTTATCCAGATGATAATGGATGTGAAAGAATTACATTACAAGGCTTTAAAATACATGGAATGAAATATATAAAACACTACCAAATTATCAATTCAATGGATTCATGTTTTCACTTTCAAGTTGATTGAATGTTAATCAAAATTTAAAAGAATCTATACAATTGTGCCTGTTCGATTCAACCTCTCTGTAGATCATGGCACCGCTACGGGAGCCTTCGATAGATCGAGATGATTTAGCCTGCATGTTCCAAGCAGGGATTCCGGTAACTCCTCCTGTGTATTGCCCTGAAAAAGTAGTTTAGATCGAGATGGTTTAGCCTGCATGTTCCAAGTAGGGATTCCGGTAACTCCTCCTGTGTATTACCCTGAAAAAGTAGTTTGGATTGTAATCAACACCATCAAACAAATCTATATTACTCGGATTCGAGTGTGTAATCAACGCAATCAAACAAATCTATTAGTCGGACTCGACAAACAAATCTATGTTACTCGGACTCGACTGTGAACGTTAAATTTAATGAGAAAACAATGAGTTGAAGCAAATTAATCAGAATAATAGCAACATGCAAGCTAATTGTCTCATTGTTCTTTAGTTGCTTGCTACTCAAGTAAAGTCCACATGCAAAGACATGGAGGAAACTTCACTTACAGAAGTCTTACCTGTATTATAAACGCCATTTCTACAACCAAATTGTTCAGATATCCGAGGACAAGATTAGCTATGCCCCGTGCCACTGTCGAAGACCCTATATCGATTTCTGCCTGAAATTTAAATATGTTTCAGTACGGCAACACAATAACAAATCGAAGACTGGAAAAACAGAGAACTAAAAAATGCATTCGTTTTTGCAGAGCCAAGTAATTTGCAATATCAGCAACTAAGACAATGACACAATCATCGTTCATGTAGTGTCGTACTTGATTCGAGGATTTTCCGAATCGGAAATTTACCTCCAAGTAATTTTTCCCACGAAAGTATCGAGTATCGAGAGCTTGACCGAGTAAGCAAGCTTTCTTTCCAACACTTTGTTTGACTATCCATGATCCCTGAAGAAGATTATTCACTAAAACAGAGTAAAAAGCCTAGGGGAATAGACGAGACATCTGTGCTTGATTATTTTTTCAGGTCGTTTACACATTTAAAAAAAAACTGGCTACAGAGTCGTCTCGGAGGGAGGAACAGCATTTGCTTGAGTTTCCGTTTATGTCTCAAGAATGTCGGAGATGACACTAACTGGCTATGTAGGAAACTTGAAAGCTTAATTTTGAAGTTTTGCATACCTTAGAAATATATGGTATGAGCTTAAATCTCGTGTTTCTATAGGCATCATCTCCATCGACAAACTTGTACAGCAATGGGTGATCCTCAATGGGGGTTTTTATCATGTAGTACAGTGCTAGTGTATACGTCGGCGATCCGGGAATCTGATGTATAATAATTGGGAGCATATCACATGATCGTTGACAAAATCCGTATGAAGTAATTGAAAAAAAATGTAAAAATCGAACGCACCTGCATGTTGATGATAAAGAAAAACTCTGGTCCACCACGTTCTGCGTATTTCTGCATGAAAATATTTCAACGAAGTTTATTTTTCCATCATACATGTTTAATAACATGGACTTGAGCGTTAGAAATCGGAAAATAAACCGACCTGAACAATGCCACCGACTCGGCTGCCCATATCATTTTCTCGTTTGTCAGATATTAATCAGTCTGCCCCAACCATTTGCATCAGCGTTCCATTTGCCTTGATCTACCACGAAGAGTACAAGTTCAGAAATGAAGACAGAAGAAGCCAGCTTTCTAGATATGTTACTAGGATTCGAGTACGAGTATCGAATACTAGTATGTGTTGAAATGAATTTGTTCAACGTTTTCCAAGTTTATTAATGTATTTGGAGGAGAAGAGGGTTATTTCTTCATACTCATGTCTAAATATGTGTCGAATGCTTGTACTTCAAGAAAAATGAAGAGCTGGACACATGCATGCATAGATGTATATATGCATTCTTGGTGGCATATCATATGCAAGTGAATGAATACCATTCTGTTGTCTTGCAGGTAAGTTTTACCACGTATCAAAAACGAAGAAGGATCGCCGGCCGACCAACTGCACGGTAAAGCACAAGTCGGGTCCTTTTGGAGAGAGGTTCTGTAGGAGAAGACTCTGCAGTCGTCCCGAGCCACCTCTTGATACTCATTCCTTCTTTTGATCTGCAGCATGAATAATAGTTTAGAAATGCCTAAGCTATGCATTCAATCCATTGATTATCTCGACAACTTTGGTTAGTCCAGTCGAACTCACTTGCAAAATTCTGCAATTTTCTCACTAAATGGCTTGCTGATGTTGATTTCGGCAGTGATTTGCTCTGCATGTTCGATTATGATGAAATAAAACACAGTTAATGATCTGATTGAAATCGGTACGAATCGGAAAACCGAGAACCTAATATGAGGGATTAAGAAAGTACTGGCGAACTTGGTCCAGGAGACCACTCACTGTCCAAGCGATCATAATCTGTGAATTCATCTGCTTCCGGAACATCAAAGAACTCATCCGCTTCTTCGTTCAGGCCTAATAGACTAACGAGTCCGAGCGGTGTTTTCTGCCCCTCATCATCCTTTAGAGCAACGTCCTCGATCTTAACATCTTTTTCGGTTTGAGTCAAATTTTATCACATGTCCACTCCATAGACAAGCATTCAGGAAAATAGTTTCCTTGTTTCGCTTTGAACAGCTCTCGTAAGGCTGCGAATCCGAAAGTGCAATAAAACATTTTACATCAATGGAAAAGGGAAAACTAGTCCGAGGTCCCATCGACCACACCGACAGCCATTTGCCGGAATATCATCCCAACGCTAAGAACAAGAAGTTTCTTAAGCCGAAAGAAAACGAAAAATATCGAGTACAACATTCATGAATGATGTTCAAAAGCAACCTACCTTTCCACGAGAATTCACATCTTTCGCTTATTTGAAAAGCCGTAACCCTGCGACACATTTCTTCAACGATGCATCGCGTTCGTGAACATGAAAACGTGATTATGAACTCAAATCCGTACCGTTCTGACAACCAAATATCTTCCAAGGTGAGGGTGCAACAACATCGGATGTCATTGCATCGGCATTAACGGATGAGTGGAATGGCCAATGGACAGAGACTTTGTTATCTTTGCTCTTCGCATTAGCCGATCTTTTCGTGCAGGAATATAGATCATTAAAGCAAACAAGCATTTCAGAACAAATCGGGAGATTATCAACTGTAATTACCTCAAAGATGACCATATGTTCTTGGGAGAAGGTGAAACATTCTTTGAACGACATGGAGAGTCCTGAAGAAAATATTATATAGTATAAGGTAACGATGAAAAAGTCAGAAGCATCCTTCAACCAATGAATCCACCTTGCTGCTTCCTCTGAGCTAGTTGCACCTAACTGTAATGTTTCGATGTTAGAAATTGCTTGCTAACAAGATATGTTACTCGAACTCGACTGCGCATGTGTGATACGGATTCCGACATAGATATATTCAATTCGTTCTATGTTTTTTCATGTATCACGGGCTTTTGAACATGGTTAAAGAAAAATGAAGAGTCGGAGCAACATAGGTAATACGTTCAACATCAAAATCGACACAGCTCACAGTTTTACTTGCCTTAAGCTGATCATTATCATATGAAGTACTGTAAAGAGTGAAAACGAAGCAAACCTGCAAGTGGCGAACACATCGTGAGCGTTAAATATCGACATTGCAGCATCAAAAGGAAACATTATTTGCTAATCATACCTTCCTGTTAATGCTCGCCCTTCCATTGTCCGTAACCCGAATACTCGAATTGATTACATCACTTCGAACAGACTCCTGCAAAAGAACGGTTTCGGATTTATTACACCTTGATACAACTGCTGTTACTAAATGCGACCGTAATAGGTAGATTTCTGGTTAATCTATATAGGAAGCTACATAATCACGAATGTGGTGAAAAATGTTAGGCAGTGGTACTTGAAATTGAGCATTAATCATTTCACAATGTTATTTGGAATCTTTATGCTCCTTCATCTTCCTATAAATCCTTTGTTATAGCAGTATTGTCAAAGTCTGTTCCAGTTTCCAGGTGTACAAATTCTTAAAGAGACCATACTAACCTCAGGAGACGCTTATTCCTTACGACGAGTACACGTATCAGGATGAATTCATTTCTAAAATAGTGATTTATCACGATACAATTCTTTATTCCCTATATTTATTATTTATTTAAAGAGAAAGGTCTTAATTTCAGTTACCAAATGAACTCAAAGCCATCTACCTTACTACTACTCCATCAATGATTGGTTTTATTGTTTGTTTCATATGGTCACGTAAAACCAGACATAAGATATAAAATTTGGATTCTTCTTCTTTTCCAACTACTAGAATGAAAATGTGATAATAAGCAAAACCATTAACAGAAATATTGGCTATTGATAACAAAAACCAACCATTCAGAAAAATGAAACCCAGAAGATTAATATATACAAACATATATGTATGTGCATAAAAATGATCAAATGAACATTGGGTTCAACTTGGTTTTCAAAACCAATCACTTAGGTTGAAATCCAGAGTTAAAGTCTGACGGAACGTGCGGCCTTAGACGCTTCTTCACATTTCTGAGTTTTCTCTGCGACTAAGTATGTCTTACCCAAGCCTAGTGAGCATGCAAACTCACTATGGTTGGAATCAAACCCTTAAGGCTTCTAGGATGCGGAAGCTTTAACACCAACATAGTTACTCCAAGCCACCAAGGTTGGACTATGGTGTAGAAGTGCAAACACAAGTGTGACTACTCCTGGCCACCAAGAGAGACAACAACACAAAAGAGAATAAAGAACAAAGAACACTGAAACTAGAGTAAATATCTCAAAGTTTTATTACAATCTCCCAAGAGAATGGAAGAATAAATGAAGGAATGGATGGTTACAGATGAGGAGGAGAGGTTCTCTATTTATAGTTGAGATTCCTCTCAATCAATTGCCTAGATCGATTTACTCAACGATTAAGATCAGTCCAATTAATACAAAATCTCCTAAATCAAGGAAACCCTACCCAATCCTATCTAATTACATCCATTAGTAGGATTCTTTCATTGGATAGGTGTTCACATAGGATATGGTAAGATTCACTCACAATATCTTCCTGATTTGTTGTCTCTTGCTATATTTACCGAGCTCATGTAATCATTTTCGGATTTGATGCCACTTTCCTTTTCTGCACAGCCAATGTGAACGGGCTTCACAACATTCTCCAAGTGATGGACCAAGTCTGGTGGTTTAGGCAAACCCACACTCTACATAAAATCTCTTTATCAGACACTTGCGCCAATATTCCGAATCTAAAAATCACGGCCCGTGACAATATATATATATATACACACATACACATTTGATGTGATTAAATGAACATAGGATTTAAGTTCGTTTATGTGATCATAAAGTGAATTCTGAATGAATTGATTACGTGTTCAGAAATCAACCAGTGAGAGAAAAAGATAAAATCCAGAAAACTATACATAAAAACATGCAAACATATATGTATATGCAATTGTATAAACATGATCAAATGAACATACTTATTACATATATGCATTTGCCTCAGTCAAACCCAGAAAACCATGATTCTCATAAAACCAAGAACACATCATCATAAAAGCAGCAAAAGAACACAACATTTGTTCCATTCTCCAAAATGGGTTCTATTCAACCAAAACATATAAAAGAATCCATAACTCAACCAAAATAAATGAAAATGAACAACAAAAGGGATCAATTAAAAAAGGGGTTACCTCTTTCTCATAATTGGGGATTCCTTTGTAGCTCTTGAGAACGTTGTTACGAAGAATGAAATAACGTTTGCGAGAGAACTGTTAGCCAATTCGATTAAAACGTATTGTATATAACCAACCCTCCATTGTTGCTTGATTCTGAGGAGCACCCATTGCTTTAAATCACTAAAAAAGAAATACAATCTTCAAGAAGTTGGTTCTTCAACGAAGAACGTTTATTGCATGGCGACTGTTTTCGCTGCATTTTCTTTTTGAATTTGAGGAGAACATCGAAGATGATCCTCTGATCCCAATAAATGGAATCAGAGAATCAAAATTGGGAGAAAACCAGAGGGGCTTCTGAAATTTGCGAGCAATTCAATTCTTTTTATATCTTTGAGTTCCCCCGGATTTGTTGGTTTTATTTCTGAGTTTTCCCTACATGTTGAAACTCTAATATTAGAATCTTAAACAGATCTCTTGACATTTTATCGTTTTATGTTTTTTTTCTTTCTTTTTTATAATTATTAGAGTACGATCTATTGATATATTAATTCGAATTTTTATTCGAGCTTAATGCATCATCTTACTAAATTAATTATGTTTTAAAAATATAAGAAAATGTTATGTATTTGTGTTTTACGTCATTCCTACGTTAATAGTGTATTGTTGTTTCTCTCATCTGAAAATGTAGATAAGAATAACTCACGTTAAATTTTATATTTTAGATGTAATATATTTCATGTTGATATCGCTTTTAATTATTTTTTCGCTCTCAGATTTCTAATAAGTGTTATAATATTTATAATTTGAGTTATTAAGTTTTGAAATAATTTTTTATGTAAATTTTGTTAACGATGTTGGAAACATATAAAATGAGTTTTATTGGGAAAAAATTCAGTTTTAGAGGAATAATTCTCGATCAATTTAACGATGTTTCAACTGATATTACAATAGAATTGAAGTTGTTAAAAATCTGGTTTCAACGGACATTTAACTTTAAATCAAAATTGATGTTATTGAATACTTAAAAGACCAATTTTTTGATGAAATTTATGTCAAATGGAAGAATATTATATATGGACTCAAATTTTTACTTTTAGCCTTTTTTTTGAATAGTTGCCGCTAGTATTATTAAAAAATGAAAATATTCAAAATTAGAATGAGGGTTTATAACTATCATCGTAAAATAAATACATAATTTGAGAATTTTCCTATAACATTGAAACTACCCACTTTATATTATATACATAAAAAAGGTTAAAAACTCAACCAAATGACTTGGACAAAAAATATATACGAACAAATTTGACTGCATTCACAAACCAACCACAAAAAGCGAATTAAGCTATTGAAAAACCACCAAGAATCGTAAATCAGAGTCAAACGTCGTGAGAAACTATCCACAAACATAAAATCGCGCATCCAAATTTAATCCGATGGTACATAGCAAGAAAGGTCATCAAGGTTACAAATAAACGTAGTCTTCTAAATTTGATTGTTGGATGGGATTTCAAATGAGTTAAGGTTCAGGGTTCCGTCAAAAGGAGCTTTGGGTTTAATAGAAAACAACTGTTGTTTATGATTTAAGATTTAATCGGATTTGAAGTTTATGAGAGAGTTCAGATATAAGAATGTGACACATTTATATCGGGCACATTCTCATGTCTAAACACTCACACTCACACTCGAGTTCAAATAACATAAATGTCGAGCACGAATGTCGGACACAAATATTTTAAATAAAGCGAACATTCGATTAACATTACGATTGCAGTAACATCGAAACATTAAAACATAAAGATCGAAATATTGCAGATTCAAGTGCACATTATACAGTTGAAGTTTGTGTTTTATTCTTCGAGTGCCTTTGAAAACGTGAAACGGAAACTGCTTACCCGCCGCTTATCGGAGGAATAATGGCCAATTCATCTTTGTCTTTAACAACAGCAGAATCGGTTGTATATTCTTCATTGAGAGCAAGAACAATGCAGTTCCGCATCTCGTCCAAGTTCGGGAACTTCGAAACGAGCTTGTTTAGACAATCTTGTGTAGTACTACCGGATGGAACCTCCATCGATAGCTCCGTCAACCCGGTTATATCTCGAGCTTTGGCGAAGAACAGCACCTTTATCTGAATGGACGATCCGTCTTTGCCGACCGGCGTGGTGGCAGGAATATTTATCTTCCTTAACTTTCACATCCATCATGTTAACAAATGGAAGGCAGCACTGGATTTATCACAAATTGAACCCTGTTGACACTACAAAACGGAATCGATTTCGAACCACCATTAGTGTCTGTTTTCGATTCGAGGAATGGCTAATTCAAATCTTGTGCTTTGAGCACCGATCATAGACCAGATACACAAGTTCAGCAAGTAACCTTGTTTCATGTAATGCTTGAACATGATTATAATTTAAAAGTACATAATCAGATGAAAACTTCAGATCAGATATTCAAATTAGGTCAAATGCATCGATATAATCGATAATTCCCCCCTCGACTTCGGCTTCTCAGCTGTCTATTTTCAAATCAATCGAAGATAATAACATGCATGAGCATGGGTCATACACCCAACAATCGATTCAAATGCTCGAGTACAGCATTAATATCTACTAGATACGAGGAATCATGAAACACTAGAACATAAATTACAATCACATAAATCAGATGAACATTAAAGATCAGAAATTTAAATTAACATCTTGAAAGTGACAAGAGTAACAAGCAGTAGAATCGAAAACAGCGAATCAAAGCAGTAGAATCGAAAACAAGAAATCAAATTGTAGCAGAGTACCAGATAACACAGCGAGCCAAAACAAAGAATCCCATGAATCAAAGTAAAAATTAATCCTCAAATTAAGTTTAGGGTTTCGAGATTTCACCTTAATTTACTGGCGCGTCGGAAACTTGAAGGAAAGAAAGAGCTGGGTCAGGCACCGGAGGAGGAGAGGGATAAAATACAGGAGGAACACAAAACGAGGCCTTCTTCAGTGAATAGTTGAAACGGTGAGCGTTCGATCGAATCAAATGAAAAATTTTTCGAGTCGAATCTAATTTATAAGATCTGAGTTGAGTTGAATATTCGAATGTCTGTTTAAATTTATTTATAAATACTTATAATATTATGATATTCAATTTAAATAATTTTTATAATCATATAATACAATATATATGTTTTTTTAATATTTTTTCATATATGATATACATATATCATAAAATCAAGAGACTCGACTTAAACTTGAAAATCAATCCACTAATTACTAAAATTTTGAGTTATTCGAGTTGTATTTTACAACTCGATTTGAAATTAAAAAAATTTTGAATCGAGTTTATGAAATTACAACTTGAAATCGATTGCAATCGAGTCAGAAAAATTAATTTTTTGAGTCGATTAGAGTTTTGCTCGCTCCAATATAAGATTATAGATAAAAAAAAGTGTGACAATAATATTGTGAATATATTCAAATTTGAAAAGTAAATTATTTAGATAGTGTGTTGGAAAAAAATTAATTCATTTACTTGAGAAATTATTTGTTAAGATAAGATGTTTGATACATTATCTTTTGGAAGAATTTGGATCACTCGACAATACGGGTGAGCATTCGATCGAGTCGAGTTTAGTCGAGTCAAAAAATTTCAAGTTATTTAGTTGATGAGTCGTATTTTACAACTCGAACTTAACTTGAATTTTTTTATTCGAGTTTCTATGATAATTTTATTATAATTATTTATATTATTATGGCAATAATTTGTTCTAATTTTTTTGACTTTATCTAACCATAATATATATATATATATATATATATATATATATATATTATTCTTTCATATTATAATGCTTTTAATATATCATATACAATCTAAAATTATGAAATATATTCATAATACTATATTTTAAAGAAATTATTTTGAGGGTAAAATATTAACGAGAGTATAAATGAGTCAAGGAATTGATGAGAAGAAAAAATTTGCAAACACATGTAGTCAAAAGATTAAATTGAGTACAATGCATGGTTAAGGGACTAAATAAAAAAGAGAGTACATATTTAGTAAAAAAAAAATAACAATTGAAGTTATATAAGTATCATATTGTCGTATATGAGCATGTGGTTCAAATTTGGTAAAAAAAAGGGGACATAAACTAAATTACAAATTGAAGGAACAAGAGATTATGAAAAATTGAAGGACTAAATTGAAAAATAAAAATTTGTTATCAAAAAGAGGAATTGAAAGTACACATGTATTCTACTATGGTTTAGGATCATGTGACTCAAATTTGGTAAAACAAATGGACTTAAAATAAATGACGAATTGAAGAAATAAAGAGATTATGAAAAATTGAAGGACTAAATTGAAAAATAAAAAAATTATTATCAAAAAGAGGAATTGAAAGTACACATGCATTCTACTATGGTTTAGCAACATGTGATTCAAATCTAGAAAAATATAGACTTAAAATGAAGGAGGAATCGAAGAAATAATGAAATTAAGGACTAAATCATAAAACTATCAAAATATTTAATTAAATTTATCATTATTCAATTAAACTCGACTCGACTCAATTACTTTCTTAGATGAGAATGGATCAAAAATGTTTAAAAGATATTTTATAAAGTTCATTGTCAATAATTATAAAATAATCGTTAATTTTATTAAATTATTATAAAATAATCATTAAATTTATTGAAATATTATTATAAAATAATCATTAAATCTTAACTTTACAATATTGTCTCATAATGAGTCCTAACATACATGAATCACACCAATCCATATGTATATATCAGAAAAACACTACTTCCCCAGCTCACTTGCTTTCATCCATTTTTGTCTTCAGTCCCTTGCAACCATTGTTCTAATTTAGCCTCTTTGTCAGCCTTGAAATCCTTATAGTTTTCGGACAAGAATGATAATTTGTCATGCGGAAGTTCGACGTCGTCTTTGGCTTCTTCCTTTTCGTCTCCTTCGTTGACTTCATCGGCCATTTGACTCGATGCGGGTAGCTCATCAGCTTCTGTATCTGGAATTGTACTGGTGCTGG